GTCGTGAATACAAAAACAAAATTGATGCCATGTGGTGTGAACTCATACCAAATAATCGCCAACATTTTTTCCCCTCTCTTTTCTTCTACTTGTTGGGGGTGAATTTTGACGGGGAGGGGGGAAACCTACGTGACTGGGTGGTGAAGCAAACAGACACGGGAACCCCTAACACCCATCTGGTACGGGGGGAAAACGCGCCAAACAAAAAGAGCAAAAAAAAAAATCCACAGTCCCCCATATGCCGTCTGCCGGTAATGGAGTTCCATGGAAACAGATGGTAGAAATAGTGGCTACAGTGTCATTGCCGATTCCATCTCTCTCTCTCTCTCTCTCTCTCTCTCTCTCTCTCTCCCTCTCTCTTCCTCCCTCCTCTCCCCTCTATTTCTCCTCCGCTTTCTATATCCCTTCTCTCTCTCTCTCTCTCTATCTCTTAAACGCTCCGTCCCCCTCCTCTTTCACATCTCTCTATTTTTCTCTCCCCCTCTCTCTCATCTTCATATTTTTCTTCTCCTTTCCATCTCTCACACTTTTCTTTAAATCCCTACTAAGTTGCCTCCATCCTCACCCCCTTATTTTCCCTACTAATTGATATGTAATTTCCTCTCTTTTTTTTTACTTCCTCGCCTACGATTTATATATCCTTGTATTTATTTAATCTTTACTCGATCCTCCCATCTCAAGTTTTAAAAAAACATTCCTCTTACCAAAATGTTATTGAACTTTTTCTATCTCTCGCTCTCTCTCTCTTTTTCGTGTATACATTTCATTCTCGTCGTATTTATTTCTGTTACCCATCTGATTAGTTCTAACGACGCGCCATATTTCCTATGCAATTCTTAGACGTTACTGTAAGCTATTGTGAGAGCTTTCCTTACAAATCAAATAAGTGACAAATAAACTACCATATTCGCCATGCAAAGTAAAGATAGACTCCATCATCATGTAATGACTCCAAAATCTGTTCAGGGTTGTGATTTAACGTGATTTAAACACGGACCGTTCACTTTCGATTGAGAAGAGGCCGAGAGAGGTGAAGGAGCGGCATCGGAGCTTATTCTCATTCAAATTCCGTCTCTTCTTCAATTTCATTATCATCTCAAAAGAGTCAGCATTACACACTAACGACCAATAAGATAAGAGATATCATCTGGCGCGCGCGTCCACGGCCCCAAACAATCGCAAATTATTGGCATGGACGGGGGGGCAAGGAAAGACCTGTTACAAGCGCACCACACTGCTCCTCTCAAATTGATGTAATAAATGCTTATTACATGTGTGTATTGTATCTGAAGGAGGGAGAGGCAGAGATAGAAATACAGATGCAGAGAGGGGTAAAGAGAGAGAGAAATGAGGGAAGAGGGAGAATAGAGAGATGACAGAGGGAATGATAGAGAGAGTAAAGAGCAAAGAGAGGAAGAAAGAGGCATCGTCGGCGATCGCATGGCGGGCCTGATAATAACATATCAGATTAGTGCAGCGGTCTTCTACGTACGAAGATGGTTTCTTTTGTTGTTCCAAATGCACGAGTTAATGACGCGAGACTTTGGCCAGCAACACAAGGCGTTGTACCAGACCGATGATTACAAACCGTGTCACATGCTCGTATCAAAATAATGAAGAGAGTAGGAGGAGGAAGACTGAGACAGAAGATAGAGATCGAAAAAGGAGCAGAACAGGAGAGGATGAGAGGGGGAGAGAGAGAGGCGGGGTTGAATGTTGGGAGGAGAGATGCGTCGGCTGAAAATCGATAATTTCAATGAAAGTCACATATTCGAGACGATCGTTTCGCCTCAGATTTTTGGGCCGTGTCTCTTTCTTCAGTATCTCGCTATGTCTCTCTCACTACGTCCTTCCTCTCTATTTTATATATATCCTCTCTCTGTTTGTTTCACGCTCTCTCTCTCTTCACATTCATTCTCCTTCTCTCTCCCTCTCTCTCTCCATCTTCCATCTCTCCGTTTCTTTCTCTCGTCCCCTTTATTTCTAAAAGCCTTCATAATTATTTCTTGTTTCCATTTTTTCTTCGTCAAAGTTCAAACCCGCGTTGCGTGTAGGACGAGGTGGGCGCGCGTGTGTTCGTATGCACGCGGTGCATTCACCGCACGCGCGCTCAATTACGAGGCCCTGAACCACATTGGTGATTTTTCTTGCGTTTCATTACATCTTCAAATAAAAAGTGTGGACCTTCATATCTACTGTTTGTTACTTCCGAGCTGCTCTTCACAGCATTCATTCTGCATCACGTCTCTAGCATGAACCAAAGACGGTGCAGAAGATGCAATATGAAGAAGGAGAAAAGCAACGACTAGATAGCTTTCGATCGACTGATCCACTTGTCGATAAGCTATTGTAAGACATTTCTAACATGGGCGGGAAGAGAATTTTATAAAGTGAGAGCGTCGGGCACGATTCCGAAATATTACATAAGGGGTATCCCTTGTTTGTTGTGTAGTTAAGGTTTTCCAACTAATAATAATGATACTATACTATGTAGCGCATAGATGTATCTATCACAACTTTGTCCCTATGCGATGTAATGGAGAAAAGAATGGTATAGGGTTTCAAAAGGGGATGCCTGGACATACCGGTTGTACAATTCCCGTAAATATGCCACTATGTTTTAAATCACATCCCTGAAAGGTTAAAAGACAATACTAGACTACTCGCTACGAATCAAATCTGTCCCAATGTATACCTTCGATTCAAACATCTCATATCACAAACCCTATCTATACCCATTACCCATCAATAAACAACAGCTCCCTCCAATGTATCTAGCGCATCATTAGAATATAATGCAGATATATTTTCCTTATGCACGAGTCATAAAATCAGTTAGATAGGAGAGGAAAGTCTAACAACTTGTCTCTCTTTTTGGAATCCATTCAATGGGAGATAAAATGGACACCGATAACCCCCAAAAGTGATGGTGACTAAAAACAAAAAACAAACAAACCCTCGGCTATAGATACCCTTCTCTCTGGTATAACCATCAAACGTGACTGCGACAACAAGATGAGAGGAAGAGGGAGAGATAGAGGAGGGACCCTGGCGAAAATTAGTGATTTGAGAGGGTAAACACGAATAAATCAAATACTTGACCGCCGTCGAAGAGTAACCGTGAACCTGTCCGACATGTGTACTTACGTTCACCTGTTACTCGGCAATTACCCGATACAGAAGCTCGGACGGTTCTTCTCATAAATACACATTACCCCCTCTTTTTCATTTATGATCTTTGCCCGTAGATTACACATGTGATTGACAGTTGGATTGCAAGCTCTGCTTTTTCTTCTTCTTTTGGACCACACGGAAGGATACTTATTACACCAAAACTAAAAGAAAATCCTTAGAAAAAAAAAAAAACAACAATTTCCTTGTTTAGTGGTTGAAGAATGATCCGTTGTCGACTCTCAAAACACAAAATGCAAAGGGTTTCATCCAAAATAAAGGGAAAGTAACCAAATAATGAATTCCCTTTTCTCAATCATCCCAATCTAGAATTCTGTTTTGTTTGGCGTTTTTTAGTTTACATTTATTAATGAGAAATTAAATCCCTCTTTTAACGAACTCAGTTGCTTTGATTAAAATCTTTCATAATCCAAAGTTTATTGGTATTTATCTTATTACTTTACTTCTGTAATATTGGTTGAAAACATTTTCTAATTCTTTATCGTCAGAGTCTCTCTTTGTATCATATGGCTGTCGTGATTGAGAGTCACTTGAATAAGTGTTGTCGCCAAAATCTGTCTCCTCCTCTCCTTGTCCATTTTTTTTCTTTCTTTTTTTTGTAACAAATACATATCTTGAATATCAACCAAGGGGCGCTTTCCAAGCTGCCAAACATCCAAGAAGAACAAATAAATTGACCTTTTCACTGCAACATCCATACAGTCG